CACATCATCATCATCATCATCATCATCATCATCATCAGAATCCTCCTCCTCAAAATCATCCTCCTGCTCCTCCGTACACTTTCTCCATGGACGGCAGCGTTTCGCTAGTGTCGGCCTCTGGGGGCCGTTTGCCGCTTTCGGGGCCCGGGACCATCACTCAACGATCCAAGGCGAAAACAAACGAACGGTCCCAGGGAAGGGACGACCTCCCGGGACCCAGAATCGAAAAAAAACACCACCAGACTGCCTGCCAGGGCCAGAGCCTGACCCGTGACCCCAGCACGCGTGGGCCGCCGCGCCCGCGTCGCATGGACTGCCACGCCGCGGGCGAACTCGGTGCCAAAGTCCATTCCGGCAGAGTCCAGGCTAGGGGCTTACATGCGAATCCTACCCCTACCCCCCACGATTTCTGAGGGGGGGGGGGGGCTCACTTCGTCCAGGAGCTCCCGAGCGAAGTGAAACCACACCTCCCCCCTCAGAAATCGGGGCGGGTAGGGGTAGGCGTCGCATGTGGCCCCTACAGGCGGCGAAAGGTGTCCGCCGCCGCCAAGACGGAGCTGCGAAGGGGGGTGCCAGGCCGCCGGGGGCGAGCGGACGGCGAGTGGTGCAGGCCCACAGGGCGCGCATCGGAAACGCGGCGGGCCGCGGACGGGGGAGGGCGAAGGACGGCGGCCTTGGCTCAGCCGTCGGGGAATGCCGCGGCAGGTAGGAGCGAGCTCGTGGAAAGGCAGCAAAGGCCTTCAAGCGTGAGTCGGGCCCTCCTCCTTCAATACTCCTACTCCTCCTCATCCATCCTCCTCCTTCTCCTCCTTCCCTCCTCCCTCCTCCTCCTGCTTGTTTGCCCCCCCCCCCCGGCGGCAGCACAGGAGGCGGACTCGGGGCGGCCTTCTGAGGCGGCCTTCTGAGCAAGCAAGTCCCATCACGCAGCCCACACGTGCGCGCCGCCGAGATCGGCCCATGGTGACCAAACAGAAGGTCGTCAGGGGGTTCGAAAAGCATGCAGGCAGACCACGTAATTTGTGCTCCCAAATGTCCGTGCTATCGCGGCTAAGCATCACAACGAGGCCGTCTCAACGTGCTCTGCAGAAACTTATACGTTGCCCTTACTTCTGCGCCCCGCCCGCCCCCTTGGCTGACTTGGAGGCAGACCACCCATGCTCACGGGCTCGAAGCTGAACGGCATTCTGTCTGGCCCAACAACGTGAAAAACAACCTGCACAATGAATAATCAGAAGGCGAAGAAGAGAAGTAGCAGGAATCTTGGGAGGATGAGGGCGGGAGCGGGAGGAAAGGGAAGCATGTATCACTGAAAACAAAGGCAACGAGCCGACAGAGAAGCAGCAGCACACGATGATCACGATGACAAGAAAATGCGACGAAACGACGGCGGCAGAGGGATTGCGGGTGGTGATCGTGGACTTGGTTGGTGGTTGGCGGTGGTAACGCTGGGAATGGCGCTGGTGGTTGGTGCTGGTGCTGGTGCTAGACATGTTAACCCGATAACAAGAGTATCATGTTTATTATCTGCCTGGTAGACTGCTCAGCCAAGAGGCGTGAAAACACAACAACTGATGCGGGGAATTGTGCCGCGATCACCTTGTCCGGTAGACTCGAGCGCGCAGCCGCGATACACACTCAATACATCAAACATGTCGGCGTGTGTGAGGGGGAGTCTCGGGGTGATCCTGCTCAGGGCTCTTTCACTCGAAGCTCTTCCTCCCCTCCCCTGCAACCACCTGAAGCCCTCCTCTTCATCAAGTTCGCCAACAAGGAAAACCGCCCAGATCTCAATAGGTGAAATGTCCCCCTGACGATGTGCCCCCCATGGGTTCTCGAAGACATGACGACCTCACAATGATAAGTGTTTCAAAGCATCTACTAATGAAGCGTGGTGCGCGCCGCTATTGTCGCTGCTGCGTGCGGTCTCTCTCTCTCTCTCTCTCTCTCTCTATATATATATATATATGTACATATATATATATATATGCCCCCCATGGGTTCTTGAAGACATGACGACCTCGCAATGATAAGTGATTCAAAGCATGTACTAATGAAGCGTGGTGCGCGCCGCTATTGTCGCTGCTGCGTGCGGTCTCTCTCTCTCTCTCTCTCTATATATATATGTGTGTATATATATATATATCGGAGGTGAGGGGGTGAGATCGAAGTGGAACGGAGAGCCCCCCACCGGGAAATCGATTTCGGTTTCGTGTTCGTGTCGTGCGTGCGGGCGAGGCGAAGCTGCGTGGGCGGGCGAGAGGAATTCACTCTGCTGTCGCTAGGGGTCCGCCAACACAAATGTTTCCCCCCCCCCGGCCTTGTCAAGCGGTGGCACGCATTGTCCCGTCGGTGGCTCGCCGTTGTCCAGTCGGTGTCCCGTCGGTGTCCCGTCGGTGTCCTGTCGTGAGATCGATAGTGAAATCGACTGTGAAACCGATCGTGAGATCGATAGTGAGATCGATAGTGAGATCGATAGTGAGATCGATAGTGAGACCGAATGTGAGATCGATTGTGAGATCGATTGTGATATCGATTGAGATCGATAGTGAGACCGAATGTCGGTTGCCCGCCCTTGTTCTGTCGGTGTCCCGTCGGTGTCCCGTTGGTGTCCTGTCGTGAGATCGATAGTGAGATCGACTGTGAGACCGATCGTGACATCGATAGTGAGATCGATAGTGAGATCGATAGTGAGATCGATAGTGAGACCAAATGTGAGATCGATTGTGAGATCGATTGTGATATCGATTGAGATCGATAGTGAGACCGAATGTGAAATCGATAGTGGGATCGATAGTGAGATATATTGTGAGATCCATAGTCTGATAGCGGGATCGATAGTGAGATCGATGGTGAAATCGATAGTGAGATCGATTGTGAGACCGAATGTGAGACCGAATGTTGGATCGATAGTGAGATCGATAGTGAGATCGATAGTGAGATCGATCGTGAAATTGATAGTGACACCGAAAGTGAGATCGATTGTGAGATCGAATGTGAGATCGATAGTGGGATCGATAGTGAGATCGATTGTGAGATCGATTGTGAGATCGATAGTTAGATCGATTGTGAGATCGATAGTGAGACCGATTATGAGATCGATTGAAAGATCGATAGTGAGACCGATTGTGAGATTGATTGTGATATCGATCGTCAGTTCCATAGTGAGACCGAATGTGAGATCGATCGTGAGATCGATAGTGAGATCGATAGTGAGGTCGATGGTAAGATCGATTGTGAGCTCGATAGTGAGATCGATAGTGAGATCGATAGTGCGGTCGATAGTGAGATCGATTATGAGACCGAATGTGGGATCGATGGTGAGATCGATAGTGAGATCGATAGTGAGACCGAATGTGAGACCGAGTGTGCGATCGATTGTGAGATCGATAGTGAAACGGAATGTGAGATCGATAGTGGTATCGATAGTGAGATCGACAGAATCAGATCGATAATGAGATCGGTTGTGAGACCGATTGTGACATCGATAGTGGAATCGATAGTGAGATCGATCGAGTGATATCGATAGTGAGATCGATAGTGGGATCGATCGCGAGATGTATTGAGTGACACGTTGGTTCCTCCTCCCCCCTCACCTCCTTATCCCCCGAAGGGTGGTTGTATAGGTATATATACATATACGTATATGTATTTATCTTTATCTCTCTTCTCTCCCTATCCCTTCCTGATCCTGGCTTCGCGGTGTTCAGACTGGGCCTGAAATTTGAAGGCAAAAAGCCATGGGTTATACGATGGGGGGCGTCCACCCTCAATAGGCGTGCGTCCGAATAGCCCCCCTGGGTGCATCCCAGGGCTTTCCCCGTCTTCTGAGCGACCATACGCTTCGGGCGGAACTCTGGGCTCGGCAGGGCTGGACCTGAACGCTGTTCTTCGTGTTGGTTTCGTTGTGTTTGTCGTTTTGCTCCAGCTGTTTTCCTGCACCTCCCTCTTAAAACGAAGAACAAAGCACGGCCGAAATCCAGCAAGACAGCGTTTAGGTCCAGCCCTGGGGCCCGGGGGGGAGAGAAACAAGGCCTGCAACTCCCTGCCGCTGGCCGAGCGCGGGCGCGGAAACCCCGAGGAGGCTTCGGAGGAGGCTGGCGAGGGGTGGAACAAATGGCAAGCTCTGGGATGGCCTATTCTCTGGTATGGCCCATTCTCCAGGGCTCCCCATCCTCCGGGATTGCCCATCCTCTGGGGTCCCAATCCTCTGGGATGGCCAATCCTCCTCCTCCTCCCCCCCCTCCCTCGTTTGCGGAAAGGGGGGCCCGCGCAACGGGGCATTTGGCGCAGAAGGCGGCCGCAAAGGAGATGGGGAGGAACAGGGGAAAGTAGCGTCGGCTGCGCCAGCCTCCCCATCGACGCCCTTGGGGGGAAAAAAAGGGAGGAGAGGAGGAAGAAAGGAGCGAGAGGAAGAGAGGTGGAAACAGGAGGCGAGGTGGGGAGGAGGAGAGGTGAGCAGAAGAGGGGGGGAGCGGAGGAGCGGCAGGCTAAGACACGACTATGTGCCCGCATCTCCCGTCCTGTGTCCGCCAAGCGGCAGCGGGCTGCAGCAGCAAGGAGCGATGAGAACACTGCCAGCCTGTTGTGCTCGCACAACGCTCGCATGCGCAAGCACCTGTGAAGAGAAGGGTGGCGCTGAGGCATTCGACTGTGCAAATCCATCGAGAGGCTGGCAGGGGGGGCGGCACCTTCCAGTCCTGCCCGGTCGGCCGGACCAGCTGCACGGACACCTCCGAGCTGTCCTCCGGGTGCGCGCCCCCTGCCCACCTGGAGAAACACCCCCCCCCCCCCCCAAAAAAACACGAGTACCACACAGACTGTCAGGTGACCACGCGGACTTCTTGGATCGGCGCTGATCCCCCCGCCCCTCTGGCGGCGCCGAGAGGCGCCTCCCCCTGCCGCGCCCCGCGCGCCGAGGCAGGAAGGCCCAGCGCCGACCCACTCCGAAAGCGTATGCCGATACACGGCTTCCCTCGAAAGCTGATGCACTGTTCTTCGAGATTCCCGAAGCATCCAAAGGACGCATGCGGATTCATGACGACGCTCCAGGATTCCTGAATATGTCGCAGGTGTCAGGATCCCTTGGGATTCCTACGGGCTCTTGCAAATTCCGAAAAGGATCCCGCAGGGCGTAGGTGGTCCAGGCGGGGTGCTTTGACTTCCATCTGCCCCTCTTCCCCTTCGGGGAGGGATATGCCCCTCCCCCTATCCACTCCCCTGGACCTGGACGGGGGGTCCCCCGAGGGGTTGGAGCGTCCAAGATGGCCCAAGATGGCTCCAAGAGCGCCTCGGAGAGCCCAAGATGAGCTTCAAGATGGCTGAAGATATCCCAAGCTGCCTCAAAATAGCTCCAAGATGGCCACAGAAAGCCCCAAGACCGCTCCAAGACGGCTCCAAGTGGCCAAAGAGCTTCCCAAGGAGGCCCCGAAGAGGCAAAAAATCGTCCAAAACATAGAACATCAATGATTTGTGCATTCTCGCCCTTTCGCTTCCGATGGCCATCCGAGGCCTCAAGATGGCTCCAAGATGGCCCAAGAGAGCCCCAGGAGAGCCCCAAGACGGCCCCCAGAGCGCCCAAGAGCGCTCCAAGAGGGGTCCAGGAGGCGATTGTCGGTGCTCCCGAGGGGGGGCGCAAATTGGAGCTCCCCTCGTTTTTGATCGATGTCCTCCAAGATGGCCCCAAGAGCGCTCCCAAGGCTCCCAAGAGCGCCTCAAGAGGGCCCCGAGAGGCGCTCAGAAAGCCTCAAGAGGTGCCCAAGAGGCCTCCAAGAGGCTCCCTAGAGACCACCAAGAGGCCCCAAGAGGCTCCCCGAGGCACCCGAGACGCTCCAAGAGGCCCCTGGGACCGCCAAGAGGCCCCCAAGACGCAAGAGAGGCACAAGAGTCCCAATACGGCCCCAAGAGTGTCCCAAGAGCGCTCCGAGAGGGACCCGTCCTCTGTGCTGCCCACTTTCCTGATCGAGGCAACTCCTCATGGGCCTCGTCTCTGGATGGGCTGGTGGGATTACAGTGGAGGCCAGTCCACAAGAACCCTAACCCTGAGACCCCAGGACAGGACGTCCATCGATCTTTGGTGTGGGAGCGTCACGCTCTCCATGGGAAAACCATCGAAACCCAACAAACACAGGGCACCCTGGAGGCAAGCAGGGTGTTTCTTGGCATGGGCATCCACAGTACTTTTTTTGGTCGCGGCCGCGAGCGAAGAGCGCAGGCGGCGAATTAGCTACTGGGGGCCGACGGGCAAGCCGCGGGCCGACGGGCAAGCCGCGGGCCGACGGGCAAGCCTAATTAGCTACTGGGCGCGACACAAGCCGGCCGGGCCAGCTCACAAGGCGGCAGCTGGAGCAGCAGGGCGGGGGCTGGCTGGCTGATCTGGAACGCCCAGGGAAGCTCGAGCAACGTGCAGCCCTGAGCAAAATGCCAGGGAATTCTGTGTTACGCGCTGCGGCGTCAGACCACACAGGTGGAGGTGCAAGCTGGGACAGGTGGGTGACCAGCACGTGCGATCCTCTCAAACATGGTGGCAGGGAAGCATCCACTGCACGCGAAGCGTCTTGAATTGTTATAACGCTCCGTCCGTGGGGGATGCCGGGCCCCCGAGATCGGTGGCCCCTGGTCCCCCATGGTGGCCCCCCGGTGAGAGGTGCCAGCCAGCCCCCCAAGACCGGTGGCCCCCCCATCGCATCGCCAATCGTGGCCCCCCATCGGGAACTGTGCACGACAGGTTCGCGTCGCGTCGACCCCGGCGCTGGTCCCTGACAGCGCGGGGACGGTTCAAGCTTGAACGGTCGGCCCTTTCAAAAAGGCCGGATCGTTCAAGGATGGGCCGATTCCGGGCCACAAGGCTGCGTTCGACCCCACACGCCCGCGCTGGGGCCGCCGCCGGCCGACACGACGCGAAGCTGCCGCAGAGCTGTCCGGGGTCTTCTGAATGCATGACGGTATATTTGAGACGAGGCCAGGGCGAGGAGAAAGTCGGGGCGAGGATGACTCGGAGGTCCGCGCGGATTTCTCGGATCGGCGCTGGGGCCCCCTGGCGCGCTCCGCACGCCAAGGAGGGGGGGTGCAGCGCCGAGGCGCCGATCCGAGAAATCCGCGCGGACCTCCGAGTTTTGATGTTTAGGTCACTCTCCGATCCCCTAAGCACGAAGAATGACATCGAGCGAGGTCGCTTGCTCTCGCGACGCGGGCCCCTGGGGCCCAGGTCTTCGACCTCTTCCTTCGGGGCCCGCACCTTATCCCAAACTCGCTTTTGGACGGTCCCGGGGCCCGCAAGGGCCCCCCAGAGGCCGCAGACGCCGAAAAGCCGTCCGCCGCGATCTTCTTTCGGGGAGACGGAAGCCTCGGGTTCGGGGGACTCGAGTTGGCCTGACGGGGCCATCACGAAAATGACGAGACCGCGAGCTCCCGCTGCAGACGCCCCACGAACACTGGACCCCGTCAAGACCCAGGGCGGGCTCGTCCAGGGAACGAATGCGAGCCCGAGTTCCGGCTTACTCAAGTCCTACGTTTCCCAGATTCCTACGAGCGCCCTCGAGGAGGAGGAGGAGGAGGAGGAGGAGGAGGAGGAGGAGGAGGAGGAGGAGAGGGAGGAGGAGGAGGAGGAGGAGGAGGAGGAGGAGGAGAGGAGGAGGGGGGAGGGAGGAGGGAGAGGGGGGAGGAGGAGGAGGGGAGGAGGAGGAGGAGGAGGAGGGAGGAGGAGGAGGAGGAGGAGGACGACGACGACGACGACGACGACGAATGCGAGCACGATTCCCAGCGGAGCTCGGCGTCGGCACCTCACATGCTCCCGGGCCGGGGCCCACCAAGCGCCGCCTCGGGCCCTCCCCCCGGGGCGCCGAGAGCGCCCCCTCCGGCCCTTCGGAGCCTCCCTCGGACCTCCCCCATGGGATCCCGACGACGACGACGACGACGACGACGACGACAACCGCAAGTTATTAGGCCGCCCCGACCCGCTGGCCCTCGTGGCGGGGCTCGGGGCGCTGGCTGGCGTGGACGCGCTCGCACTCGCCCGCTGGGGATCCCGGCCGCGGCGCCGCGCAGACCTCTCTCTCTCTTCGAGGCTCCGCTCGAGGATGCCTGGCTGGCCCTGCTCCGACCTCGTGGTCCTCCGGGAAGCTTCTCGCCTGCACCGCCGGATGCCCCTCGGACTCCTGGCTGGAGAGCATCCTGGGAGGGGTCCGGGGGTCGACCTCGAGGGGAGGAAGGTCTCAGACCTCCGGCGCACTGACATCGCAGACCTCCTGCAGGCGCGTCGCAGTGTCGGCCTCTGGGCGCCGCCCTCGGGCTCCGGGGGCGGTCGGCAGACGGTCAGAGGCGAGACCCTGGTCCGAGGGAAGAGGTCGAGAGATCTGGGGGAAGGCGCCCCAGAAAACAGCAAAATACACAGGCGAAGAACACAACCAACTGTAAAACGCGCGGCGGATAGTAGCAGGAGCGCGCAGTGCACATGAACATGCTGCAGGATAAGCAATGCCCCTGAACGTTTCGACAAGAAACGGAAAACTACACTCAAAGCCGCCTCCTTCACGCATGGGGCCTTCGGTGGGGCTCCCCATGGGGCCACGAAGCGTGTGAGAGGTGTGGCAAAATGGACCCGAGTACGCATGCAAACCCTGCCACTGAAGCCTTCGGTGGAGCTCCCCATAGGGGCACGAAACGTCTGCGGGGTGCGCCAAAATCGACCCGAGTACGCATGCGAAGCATGCCACACTGGAGCCTTCGGTGGAGCCCCCGCTAGGGCCACGAAACGAGTGAGGGGTGCGCCCAAATCGACCCAAGTACGCATGCGAACCCTGCCACTGGAGCGAGCTCCCCATCGCGCCCCCGTCCAGTGGGGGCTCCGTCGCCGCAGCTGCGCCGCGGCCCGCGGCACCGCCCCCTCGACCGCCGCGCCCGCGCCGTCGACGTCGCGCGCGAGGGGCGGCCGCAGCGCCGGGGGCGGGAGGGGGCGGCTTGGCAGCGGAGCTCCGCAGGCTCGCCACCGCCGCGGGGCGAAGACCCTCCGCGGGCCGCAGCAAGCGAGCCCCCTCCACGAGTATCGTTTGACCGATCCCCCTCGCCAGCGGCGTGCCCTGGGCCCCACTGGCCGATGTGCCCCCCTAGATGGGGATATAGGCCGTTCCGTTCGGGTTTCGAGGGGTGTATCCCCAACTGGGGTGGCAATTGAGTGGGGGGTCTCGATCGGCGGTGGACAAACCTCCCTTTAGTAAACCTCCCTTTAGTGAAAGCGGCCTGGGACCGAAACCGACGGACCTGGACCTGCAAAAATGGCGGCCGCGACGCCCTCTCGCGAACCGAAAACGGCCAGTTCCTCCATCGACGTGTCAGGGCAGGAGGTCTATCCACCTCAGACTCGAAGGGGATGGGGATAGGGGATGGGGATCGGATAACGGATACTCACTCCAGAGGCCGGCCAACCGCGAGCCCAGCCGCCGCGTGGGCCGCGAGGAGGGCTCCGCGGGCCGCCCCCTCGGCGGCACGGCGGCCCCGGGCCAGCGCCGTGAGCGCACGCGGCACGGGCGAGGCAGCGAGCGGCGAGGCGCGCGCGGCGAGAAGCAGGCTTGAGCGGAAGGGCACTTGCCGCTGGAGCCTTCCCTGGAGCTCCCCCCACGAGGCGTAGGAAGGGTGCACCAGAATCGACCCGAGTACGCCTGCGAACCCCGCCACACTGGAGCCTACGGTGGAGCTCCCTATGGGGCGACGAAGCGTGTGAGGGGTGCACCAGAATCTTCCAAAATGGATCAGAGTACGCATGCGAAGCATGCCACTGGAGCCTTCGGTGGGGCTCCCTATGGGACCACGAAACGTGAGGGGTGTACCAAAATGAACCCGAGTACACATGCGAACCCTGCCACTGGAGCGCTCGGTGGAGCTCCCTATGGGGCCACGAATCGTGTGAGGGGTGTGCGGCAAGGGACCCAAATCCACATGCGAACCCTGCCGATAGATCCTTCGGCTGAGCTTCCGATGGTGCGCATGATGATGATGATGATGATGATGATGATGATGATGATGATGATGATGATGATGATGATGATGATGTTGATGATGATGATGATGATGATGATGAAAATGATGATGATGATAATGATGATAATGATGGTGATCATGGTTATGATAGTGATGATGATGATAATGATGACGTTGACGATGATGATGATGGTGATGCTGATGGTGAAGGGGATGGTGATGGTGATGGTGATGGTGATGGTGATGGTGATGGTGATGGTGATGGTGATGGTGACGGTGATGGTGATGATGATGATGATGATGATGATGATGATGACGAGGATGGTGATTATGATGATGATAATGATGATGATGATGATGATGCTGACGATGATGACGACGATGGTGATGATGATTATGCTCATGGTGAGATGATGATGGTGTTGCTGCCGTCGCTGATGGGGATGATGATGATGATGATGATGATGATGATGATGGTGGTGATGATGGTGGTGATCATGATCCTCATGGTGATAAAAATGATGATGGTGATAATGATGATGATGATGATGATGGTGATGATGATGATGACGATGATGATGATAATGATGATGGCGATGGTGATGATGGTGATGATAGTGATGATGGTGATGAGGTGATGATGGCGATGATAATGATGGTGATGCTGATGATGGTGATGATGGCGATGACAATGATGAGGATGAGGATGATGATGATGGTGTTGTTGATGATGATGCTGATAATGATGATGGTGATGGTGATGATCCCGATAATGATATGCTGATGATGATGACGACGATGATGGCGATGAGGATGGTGGTGACGATGACGACGACACTGGCGATGATCGTCCTGATGATGGTGGTGTTGATGATGCTGGCGATGATGGTGGTGGTGATGGCGATGATGATGCTGATCGTGGTAGTGGGAAGATGAAAGAGTAGGATGAGGAAGAAGCGGCGGAAGAGGGGAGGAGGAGGGGGAGGAGGCGAGGTGCAGCGCGGCGCTGCGAAGTCAAAACGAGCACCCAACGCTCAGGAAGGATGCGAGCAAACAAAACGTCGGGGTGTCTGGCCTGGAGGGCGCCCACTTGGGGGCGCTGGGCAGGCCGACTTGACCCCAGCTCAGGTCCAGGTGGACCTTGCCACGGGTGGCCCTCATGGCGTGCAGGGTAAGGATAGCCATCACTCCGTGACCGCTCGATGACGTGAGCATTGAGTCAACTCTGGCGCAACTCTCTGTGGAGCTCTGGGCGGCCTCCGCCTCTCAAAGCCCTGTCCCGCCGCCCCCTCGTCCCCTCTTGTCCTCCTCGTGCCCCCGACCGCCCGACCAGGCGGGGGCCCCGTTCGCCAACCCCACGGACCCCTTCTCCACCAGGTGCTGCGCCCCCCCCCAAAAAAAACAGAACACGCAGCCGAAGGCTGAAAAGTACCGGCACGCCTGCTGCACCCGCTAGCCTCCACCCTCTTGGGCTCCGCCGGGGGAAGACGAGGAGACGGCGGGGCTGGAGCGTTTCCGTGGGAGCGATCTCCAGCAGCAGATGCTGTCCAAGAGTGACGGTGGCCGCTTCTGGGCAGACGATGCTCGCCACAGACGGTCGACGCTCGCGGCCCAACCGGCAACAACTACTGCTCAGATTGGCACGGATCTCCTGTCGGCCCTCGTCTCCACAGCTTCCTCCCAATCTGCTCCTTAGCGACGGGATGGGAACAACAGCAAAAGCAATAACCAAGCGCCCGGGCCACAGCGGTCCTTCATCGGGCCCTCCCACCCGTCCGGGGCGGGAACGACGGCCACCGCATGGCCTGAAGGGGAAGCGCAACACCGGGAGAGGCAGCTTCGCATACAGCCATACAATCTGATCGTGTGCGCACACCTTGGCATTAGCTGGGCGCTGCGATGCTCAACAGGCCTGTCGACTCAAACGTCCTCTGAGACTGGTTGCATTCCAGAGGTGCAGCGAGATCCGACAAATCGCATCACCGTAAGACTGGGAAAAGTGAACAAGCCACATGGGTCGTGAAACGCAAAGGTACTCATGTGCACTTACATTTCCCTACGCGGTAGGTTCTTCGTCAAGCGGATAAGGCAAGACCACGATTAGGATTTGATTCTTAGAGCCGAAGCTTGGAACGAGCTAAAATAACAACGTGAACAACGAAACAATTGACACATGGTACGGCGTTGCTTTGCTTGCATAACAAATGCTGCGCTTCGCAGTGAAGTCTGGCGCGGCACACTGCTTTGCTTTGCTCAGGTGTGTTGCACTGACTTGGGTTCACTGGGCTGCCTTGCACTTCTCCGCGCTATGTCAAGCTCCGTTGCATTGCACTCCTTTGTTTCTACAGCCTGACATTGCGTTGCGCCGCGTTGCTGTGCAGAGCACTGATTGAACTGCACTGGTTTTCTTCAGGGAACCTGGCCTCGGGGCGCCATCGCCACTTGGTCATCTGTGCACAGGTGGAGGTTTGCACCCCCTCGGCAGAGCCTGCTTGGGACCAAGAGTGCGCGACTGGACGTCGCTGCGGCCTGCTATGGTCCGCCGTGCCATGACGAACGGTGATGGTACGGTGTGCTGTGCCTGATGAGGAAAACTCTGGAGGCCTCGCGAGGCAACTTGAGACCCTATGTACGTCCGATCCACGTCGGATGTACCTCGGACCTACGTCGCATCCACGTCTGAGTTACATCGGATGCACGCCAGAACACCGCCGCGCGAACGTCATCCCACATCTGAAGGGGCGAACGTGTGGAATAGATAAGTGCAACTGTTGTGCGCCGCGCGAGGCCTCCAGGAGATTCATCATAGTGTGCCTATGTTAGCGATGAATGGTGATGATCGGCCCTAACAGTATGCTAGCGGCGGTGGTGGCAAAACAATGTTGTACTGATGGGTGCTAGTGGAAGCCATCCAATGGAAGAAGCAAATGGCCCGACTGTGCTATGTGTCGCTGAAAGCTGTGCTATGTTATGATGTGTATGCCTATGCGTATGCTACGCTAGGCGATGCAAGTGCCTGCTCCGCAAGGTTTAAAACTAGATTGGCTACGGTCGTAGCGATAGCGCTAATTATGTGAATGGCGATGAGAATGCCCGGCTATGGTATGACAATGCGAGCACTAATGCCAAGATCATTGCTAATGGCAATGGTGATGGGCGATGGGAATGACATTCGTAGCGCTTATTGTATTGCCTGAGCTGGGGCTAGTGGTAGTCCTAATGTCAATGCTGCTTCATGCGCATGATAATGCTACAAGATGGTTACACTGAGCTGTGCTATGGCATGCTTCTGCTGTGCGAGGCTAGGCTACGGTAAAATCGACTAGCGGTAGTACGAACAGCGATACCACTGGCTCGGAAGTATTTCTCCTGACGCCACGCCGAGGCCCCAACACCACCCGAATGACAACTGAAGACCTCCGCGCCCGACCCGGGCCGCATCAGAGGGGCGCGCGGTCCAAGCGCCCCATCCCATACAATCAAACGGGCTTCCGCCTGCGGGGGGGTCCCTGGGGTGATCCACTCCTTCAATTAGAACTTTATGAAAGAGAATAGATGGGGCCTGGTTTGGGCGATTCTGTCCGGGACCTGGTTTGGCCCCTGGTTTGGCCTGGTTTGGCCCCGAGCCCCGCCTGAGACATCCTCGAAATGGTTTGGCCCCTGGTCCTGTTTTGGGCCCCGTTTCGCCTAGGACATGCTCAACATGTGCCTGGTGTGGCCCTGGTGTGGCCTGGATTGGGCCCGGTTTCGCTTCAGACGTCCTCAAATTTGCACAATTGGCTTGGTTTGGGCAATTTCGCTTGAGACGACCTGACGGCCTGACAATGTGCCTGGTGCGGCCTGGGCTAGGCGCAAAAAACGCGAACCATCCGTTATGGGCAGAATGCGGAAACAACGCGCAGTGGGATGTGCCACGTTTTCTTCGACACTGAATGGATAATTGCCAGACGTCGTGGTGGGCATGTACAAACCGAAGTAATGGCACGGTGTCATGAATACCCAGTGTGGTCCACATGTAACACGACTGCGCTACAGAAAGGCGGGCGGCATGGGTGTGGACATTCCCGACACGCCGTGAATCGGCATGGGCGTGCGTGGCGGCGTTAGACGAAAACCTTTCAAAGGCTGCAGTGCTAGTGATAATGCCAATGCTACGTCATAAGAGTGTGAATGCGTCTTGTGACACAATTGAGCTACAGTGCACCACGCAATCGCAACATACTTGTATACATGAAATGGAATACTACTCCTTGCGTGTGTGCATGCCTCCCTAATTGGTTGTATCGTGTGCGACGGTGATAGCATGCGGTATGCGATAGCATGATACTGGCATGCGATGCTATGGCATTGATGTGGGTCTTGTACTACTCCGGTACATGTCATGCTAGACGGCGCCGTAGGTTGAAATATCTATTTAGACAGCCGAGTGAACATGCGCGACCACGCAGTGCGTCGCCTTCGCTCAGGCAGGCTGAAATCTCGCCGGTGGCAGTGTCGAGGCCTGGCGGGCAAGTCTGCTGCTGTCAGCACTGCTGCTTCTGATGCTCATAATCATTTCCTCACACATCCTTGTCCTCCTTCCGGGCCACGTATTACTGTCCATGCGCATCCCCGTCCTCCTGGTATTGTATGTATCGTCGTCTTCATGGCGATGACATCATCATGTTGTGTTTCGCCGTCACCCCCATCATATGATCCTCAACCTCGTTGTCATCATTCCCCTCTTCCTTGCCGCCTTCACTATCGTCAATCTACTGCCTCAATGACCTGAGCATCATGCCACAACCACACCCACGATCCAAATCATCACGCCCTGACCCCTTACCATCATACTAGCGTCCCTTTCCTGCGCAAGGTTCTGGCCCCGCATCATGGGTCCGTCTGGACAAGTCCGTCATAGCCCGCAGATTACGTTGTGTATGATACCATTCCTCACCGTGCCAACAATATCATAAAGTACGATGTAAAGATTATATTGAAAATGTTGATATGTGTTGTTACATGTGTTGTTGGTTATTATCACTTCCCCTCTATGTGTTCGGTTGTCTGTCTTTGTCGCGACCATGACGATATTCGCAACAAGGGCTCGCACATACAAGCGCGTATGTCCGACACCATGCCGCTAGGCACCAAGTAGAGTGTCCTCAAGCCCCTTAGAATCCTATCTATTGAATATTTTAAATACTCTCTAAGCGGCCAGACCCCCAAATGCCAGATATCCCGAGGAAACGCCGCGTGATCTGTCCCAGGGTCAGGAGCTCCAAGATGGAACCTGAGGGTCCCAAAAGAGCCCCAGGACGGTCCAAGGGGGCTCTGAAACGACCCAAGAGCGCCCCGAGACGGCCCAAGACAGGCTCAAGACGGCCCACTAGGCTCCCGGAACACCCCAAGAGGGCCCAGGAAAGGACCCCACAACCGCTCCGCCAGACCAAAATCATTAGTTCCCTACGCGTTTGTTTCTACATTGTGGCGTCCTCGCTGCTTCGACCTTCCGACGCTCCATGACGGCCCAGGAAGCCCGCCAACATCGCCCCATGATGGCCCAGATGGCCCCCAAGAGTCCATGAGCGCCCCAAGACGGCCAGAGGCAGCCCCAAGGTGATCCAAGAGCCCCCGAGAACGGCGCCAAAGAGCCCGAAGAGGGACCCACGAGAAGCCCACGGGGGAGAACTCAACCTGGCCTTGGGGGGGCCCTTCCCCGAATAGCTTCTGCATTTTTTCCTGGCGAGCTGGTGCAGTTCCCGGCGACTTGGGGTTTATCCGACGGAGCGCGCCAAGGAAGATTTCAGCTTGGTGTGCCGTTTCATCGCTCACGCTTATGCCCTAACTTGCCAATGACAACATGGCGGTTCACAACTCCGTTCCGCGAGAAGGACGCAAGAGAAGACCCTCTAAGGATTCCTCAAAATTCATCCAAATCACTCACGATTCCTAAAGAATCCCGCATCCTTCAGGGTTCCTCCGGTTTCCTCAGAATCTTGGGAGGCTCCTCAGGGTTGTTCCAAATCCATCCGGAAACCGCAGGACCCCACAGGACCCCTCAAAATTCTGAAGGATCCTTCAGGACAGCCTCCGGATCCCTAGGAATTCCTCAGCATCCCTAAGGACTCCTAGGTGAATTCCTGAGAATCCCTGGCGATTCCGTGGGATTCCGAAGGATTCCCGTCGGGTCCTCAGGAGATGGGTAGGGCTGTACACACATGCACACGAGCCAAATGCGGCTGTATCGGAACGGTACAGGAACTACAGGGCGCTCAACGGAAATACGCCAGGAGCGACAAAATACCTTCTCTGGCCCCGTGGGGAACCTGCCGCCGCCGCCACGTGAAAACATCTTCTTCGGCCCCGTGAGGCAAGCCCGCGGTTTTTGGAGCGTTGCTGGAGCAATGGAAAATATCTCAACAACAAATCGAAGGCAGTGCAAGAATTCGTCCGAACGGAAAAAACAAGAATCGGTACCGCGGAACCCCACTTCGGCCACGCACCCAGGAACAGTATAAGACCGTGCGGCCCCTCAGTATAAGACCGTGCAGCCGACACGCATAGTACACATGGGTGCATATGCATAGATACAGATGCATGTAGTCGTGCACATACATATCTATATATATATATAGAGAGAGAGATGAATATGTATATAGATGTATGGGTGTGTGTATACATATATATATATATATATATATCCGCCAAAGTACCTGCTGGCACGGTGAGGCGTCCTAAAATGTCAAGTGCTGCCTGGCAGGTTTTTGTAATTTTCTGAGGGTCCCGCCCCCGCCCTCGTTGCATTCCCCATGTGCGTGCCGCACCTCCTTTCATAGGTTCTGTCGGCGCCCAGACACGTCCCTGGCGCTCTCCAAGGCGTCGGAGATACTCAAGATGGCTTCTCAAACGGCCAAGGCAGGCCAACAAGACTGCCCACATGGGCCAAGAGGCCTCCATGACAGCCCAAGACACCTCCAAGACGGCCCATGACGGCTCCAAGAGAGCTCTCGGCAAGGTCCGAACAGGCCCAAACCATTGATTACCCAGAGGTGTTTGAAAGGTTTCGCATTCTCGCCTTGTCGAGCTTCCGACGCGCCCAAGAGGCCCGCAAGACTCCCCCGAGATGGTTCAAGAGTCCCCCAAGAGAGCGCTTCAAGACGGCCCAAAAAGCGCCCAATACTGCCCAAGAGGGCCCCCAGAAGGGCCCAAGAGTGGGAACATGAACCAAGAGCCCAAGCCTTCTGCCTCAACAGGTCCCCAGCAGACCCCCTTGCCTTCTCGAATAACTGCATACCAGCATACGTATGTGTATACATGTATATACACACGCGCACATACATATGTATATATACACACAAATGATGATGCATCGACAAATGCCAATACACATACATATACCTAAACAAGTCCATCTACCTATTGATATACATATACATGTGCATGTACGTCTACGTATTCATATACACATACACAAACGCATACGCATACGGCATATGTATGTACATGGATATGCCCATGTCGTATGCTAGCTCGTAAAGGTATACACAAGCATGCACGTATGCCTACACATATCATTACACATTTACACATACATACACATATACACATACGTATACATATACAAATGCTGATGGGCATACACATACATGTGTAAACACTCACACGCGCATGCATATACATATGCATAAGAATGTAAAGCACATATAAATGTACATAGACTGTGCATAGCAACTGTCTATACAGATGCAAATGAACCAACACATATGCATATACATACACATGCATATATACATAGACACAGACGTACGCATATACAACTACATGCGCAAATACATGCACATACACCTATAGAAATGACGATACGTATGCCTATGATGAGTTGCATGACCATATTGGCATATACCTGCATGTAGATATATACATGTAAAGGGACCATAGGCATATACATGAGCATATACCCATACTATAAATAAACAAGCACATAGGCATATACCTATACGTATACCTATATACGTATATATACAGACATACGTATTGAAAATTTATTTATATATGCATCTACATATGCATACATGTATGCATCTACATAAACAAATGTATGCACATGAAGTATGATACGAGCACGGGTGTACGTATGTGTACACATGAACATGAGTGCACACACGCACACACATATATGTGTATATATGTGTATTATACAGTTGTGTGTATGTATATGCCCATATATCGACGTGCTGTCTGAGAAAAACAATACTGAATATTGTGGTGAAGGCATTATTTCTCGGCTACGCCTGCGGATTCCTATGGCTACGCGTGGCATTGGCTTTGCATTGCTTGAGGTTGCTTGGCATTGCTTGGAACCGAATCGTTACTTGGCATTGCTGAGAATGGCTTGGCACTGCTTGGCATTGCTTGGCACTGCTTGGGGAACCCCACGCAACGCTAGGTGTTAGGAGCCCTTCGGAAACTCCCAACAACGCGGGTGGCCGCAGCGCATCTGACGAAGGTCCCGGAACCCACTGGTTTCTTTCGAAAACAACAGAAACCCGCAGGCAAAACCTCAGTTGGAGCATGAAGAAGCAAGGACGCGGCGTCGCCCTACAACCCCCTTCCACACCGCGCTGGGGGACAGCGCACGAATGGTCGATCCCCGCACTCTGACCAAATATTAAACTGGAAGCCACATGCAAGCCCCACCCCTGCCAGTCCAAGTCCTAGCTGGTCCTACGTAGGACATGGGGGGGGGCTCAGAAATTGCGAGTGTGAACGCCCGAAATGAAGCCCCACCTGCAAACCCCTGCCGATCCAAATCGATTGGCAGCGGAGGTGAGACTCGCATGTCGCCATTGAGGAGACGACGAGCTCAGAATCGGCCAGGATTGCCGTGACGAGTACCCATTGGTCGGAAGAAGTAGGTAAAACCATGAAGTAAGAGGGCGTTGAAAGTAGACTGGGTGACCGCCCGCCCCCTGTAGAGGGGGGAAGACGGGAAGCCACTCGATCATTGAAGTAGGAAGGCGCCAAAAGTAGATTGGAATCTGGGAATCCAGAAATGCCCTCTTCTAACGACCGATGGGTGAAGGCCCTGAGGGAAAACGGGCACCTGGCCATTGCTCGGAAGTCCATGCCCTGTGCTTTTCTCGCTCTCGTGCGCGGTTTTTTCGCAGGAGGATCCAGGATGCTCCTTAATAATCCCCGCCGAGAAAAAGTGCACACGTCCGAGCGATACCATTTGAACGCCCGAAATGGATACGGAAAAAATGGGTACAATGCCCAACAACAAATGGTGTCCCAAACCAACAGCGGCGGCTGTTGGGCAGGCGGCCTTCTCTGTCTCAAATGTGCACAGGCCGCGGCGACAGCGACAGCGAGTCCTGCTCACAATGAACAGGAACTGCTGCTGGGCATTGTACTTGGGAGCGGCCAAGAGGGGGGTGTCCAAGAGGGGGTGGTGCAAATCATGACCGGCGGCATGTGCGCGGCCCCGCGGGGGGGGCCAGGGACGTCATGAAACAAGAGGAGGCGCCATGAAATCTGGGGAAATATCATGGCCCCCGCCATGATTTCCACCCCCCCCCTGGTCATCACCCCCCTCTTTTCCGCCCCCGATGTACGCCATCTCCTTCCGTACCCATCTCGCTCGTGCCGACACCAGGGCACCGGACCTCGGAGCCGCCCCCGGGGACCGGCTCCGCGTCCCGAGGTCGGCCCCCGGGCGCCCCCCGGGCCCAGGAGGGCCGCCGGGGTACAGCAGGGGCCCGACCACAAGAACTAAGTCGGGCTTGTCCCCCTACAGGCCGATTTTGGACGAAACATAAGAAATACTCACAGACTGCTCAAAAAATACCGCCGAATACTGAAAACATAGTCCCCAAACTATCTTTTGACTATTTTGGAATATTCCCCCTGTAGAGGGACAGGCCCGACTTAACACAAGAAACTTCCCACAAGAAACCCAACCCTGAGACCCCATGGGACGCACAGAGACATACTGATACTAGATGTCCTCCTTGGAGGCGCGCGTCCGACCCGAACACATAGTATACCTATCTTGTAGTATATATCTTTTCCCGAGCGGCGTGGCCAGAAAGCGCCCGCCACGACGCATATGCTATAAGGTTTCTCGGTGCGCGCGTCGCCCCCGGGGGGGCGATGCACGTATAGTACAAATGTGTTGGGGTGACGCCGACCCCAGGACGTCCATTGGTTCTTGGTGTGGGAGCGTCACGCTGTCCGCAGCAAAGCCATCGAAGCCCAAGAAACCCAGGGCACCCTGGAGGCAAGCAGGGTGTTTCTTGGCATGGGTCTCCACTGTACTGACAACCGCGAGGAAACTTGGACCCCCTTCCATCAGAACCGAGGCCGTAAACGTCGACATGAAGAATCGAAAAGAAACAACCGAATCGACAGCGAAAGCGAAACCCACCAAACCAAGCCCGACAGGCCGCAAGCATTGGCATAGCAACGACACAACAACTACCCTTGTCGACCCGACCGAACGCAACCGCAGCCGAACCGACAGAACCGCGGACACCCTTCATAGTGACAACGCGTCGTGAAAGCTCTGGCGCAAGAGATAGAGAGAGAGAAAAGGGGGGGGGAAAAAAACGCCCGAAATTGGTACGGAAAAAGTGGGCAAAATTACCAACAACAAACAACATTGCCCAAACCTGACAGCGGCTGATATTGGTCAGGCGGCCTCCTGCCTCAAAAGAACGTATGCAGCGACACCAATGGCGAGTCCTGTCTAAAATGAAAAAAAGACGGCTGTCGGTCTTTGTACCTATTCGTTCCATACCGATTTCGACCGTGCCGATTAGAGAATTAGGTCGGGCGTCTCCTACTACACGCGGAGTTTGAACGAAAAGTTTAGAAAATAGTCAGAGAATATTTCAAAAATGCTCAAAACGTCCCCATACTCGTTTGGGACTAATTCTGGATCTTCTTCCTGTAGAGGGACACGCCCGACGTAGCGAGAGAGAGAGAGAGCACGGGCGCGGCCAACGGAGCCCGGAACGACCCCGAGCAGCGAGGAGCGGTTCGCGCAGAGGTCCTTGCCGCGCGGATTAAGGGGGCGGCGAAGAGGGCGCGCGTTAGCTTGCTTGGCGTACCAACACTGTACATCGCGGACCCCCAACATCTGCTCGACGTCATACGTCGTCGATTGCTTATGACACCGGCGACTGCCGGGGCCCGGCAGGGTCCTTCATTCCCCAAACAGTGCTTGCCGCCCTGGCGGCCCCGATCCCGTCGCCGCCCCGTCTGGGCCCCCTTTGCTGCCCCAGCGGTCCCTTTCCCGTCGCAGCCCCATCTGGGCCCCGTTTGCCTCCCCGGCGGCCCGGTTCCCGTCGCTGCCCTATCGAGGCTCAGTTTGCCGCCCCGGGGCCCCGTTCCTGTCGCCGCCCCATCGGGGCCCCGTTTGCCGCCCCCGCGGCCCCGTTCAAGTCCGTTGCCGCCCCATTTTAGTTCCGCCCGTCGCCGCCGCCGCGATGCACACCCCCGCCCCGTTGCCCTGCAATCGCATCGCATCGCATCGCATCCGCACCCCATTGCAATCGCATATCGTAACATTGCTATCGCACGGCAGTCGCATTGTAATGCATTGCGCCGCTTTGTATTGTTCTGCATTGTTGTGCACGCGCATTGTTTCCTAAATTGCGTTGCGTTGCTTCGCGTTGATGCGCATCGCGTTTCATTGTTTTGCACTGTGGTTTCTTTGAAATACATTGCACTGGTGTACGTTAATTGGATAGTTTTTTTTTGTGTTGCCATGCATTGTCTTGCACTGCCTTGAATTGTTCTGCATTGCTTGGTACTGCGTAACATTGGTTCGCATTGCTTTGTATTGTTTCGCACCACGTAGATTGCCCAGCATGGATTCTCCTTTCTAAAAAGGAAATAGGTTCTACCACCCTCCCCCCCCCCCGCACTTATGAATTCCCCGGGAACCCATGCACAACACATATGACTTTGACCCAATGTCCATCCAGCCTTTGAATTCATACTATCCCAGCCAAACCTGTATCGGTCCCCCCTCGGTTCCATTGCAAAAAATACGATGCGCGCACACTATGTCCAAAAAGGGGCCGAAATGCTCACGCGCGCGAGACGTCGCGCGCGCGCATGCCGAAATCCTTCAAAAACCTTCGGTGTCGGAAGGATTTAATTTCAAAATCGAGTGTCCAAGAAACATTTTTAACAAAACAAGGTTTCGCAACACGGATGTTCAACAAAAGCGTGCGCGCGCGCTCTTGCGAATTCTTCGAAAAATTATACGTGTTTCAACATTCCGCATAATTATACGAAACGGGCTTCGCGCACGCACATGTCGAAATCGTTCGAACGCCCTTGCGCGCGCGCGGGGGTGGCACGATCCGAATCAAATAATACCACTTTAGCCACTCCCGCGCGTCTGCCGCGCGCGAATTTCGAATTCCTTCCAAAACCTTCATCACCGACGCGAAGACGCCGTCATCGTCGCCGGCGTGATCAGCATCGGCGCCGTCACTGGCTGCCCCGCCGTCGCTGTCAGCATCGTCACCAGCACCGCTACTACCATCATCGCGTTTACTGTCGTCGACGTTGCCATGATACCGCGCCCGCCCAAACCGCCAACTCGCACTGAAGTGCCCGCTGGGATGTGCCGAGCGGTCAGCGCCACCGCCTCCGCGTCGGTCGCGCCATACTAGCTGGCCGCTGCGCGCGCGAGCATGCGCGGGCTAGCGCGGCCGCAGAGATGCACCAGCCGACACCCAGCACTCATCGCAATCGCTCCCGCATGGGTTGTGCAAACCAAGTTGCGAGGGGTGGGTGGGATGGTTGCGCGAGCAGTGGGGATGATAACTTCAAGTTCGTCATGTGATTCATTGCACCTCCTAGATCGCACCACATTGAGAGCATCACTTAGATTGCACCGCATGGATGTACTGTTTGGGGCCCACGCTGGCTAAGATTGTTTAGATATGGACCGAGGACAACGACATCTGGTTCCAGGCACAGTTTGGGAAGGTGGCGACATGATGCGCTCAAACGGATCCGCCACCGCGCTTGCGCGATAGGGCCGTGTTAGAACGCTCGTCTGCTGTCTGATCGAAGTGTATATGTTCTGGGAGGGTCTCCTGAGTTTGCTCTCTGGTACTCCTTTTCGGCATCCAGACGGCTTCACAAGACAGCCCAAGACCCCTCTCAAACAGCCACATTCCCCAAGTCACTCCAAAGATGGCCAAACGGGCCTTCACATGATCTCAGATCTCCCGAAGATGCCAGAGTCCCCAGGACGCCTCCAAGAGACGCCCAAGACGCCTCCAGCGAGGCCCTGACAGGCCAAAAACAATTGCAACCTCGGAGATGTCAAGTGATTTGCTTCTGCGGCTCCTCAGCTCAAGATTGGCGCGGGAAACCTTCAGAGAGTCTCAAGAAATACATAGAACCGCACAGGAAAATCCAAGTAAAGAAAAGCCACAGACGACTCGATGATCTCTGTCGGCGGTGAGCCTGGGGGGGGAGTGAGAAGGGGCGGGCCTTCTCAGAAGGCTCGGAAGCCCCCTGGCCCTCTGAGAAGTTTTCTGAGCCTTCCCCGAAGACACAGAAACCCTCTCAAAGGCCGAAGGGCTTCTGAGAAGTCCGCCCGCCTTCTAGGAAGGCCTTCTCCTTCTGATTTCCCCCCCTCGCTCCCTGTCGACTGCGAAGACGGTCCATGGCCTCATCGTCGTTGGTTCCCCTTCCGTCCTGAAGCTTGTCCGTGGACGTGCGGCCCTCCAAGCTGGACAGCAGGCCCACCACCACGCGCGCCTCCGCTGGCCGGCGCGGCCTCAGCAGCGACACCTGCGGAAGCCCGTGCACCCACGCGTCTCACCTCCTCCCTCCCTCCCTCCCTCCCTCCCTCCTCCCATCCTCCCTCCTCCCTCCTCCCTCCTCCCTCTTTCCCTGCTCCCTACTCCCTTCTTCCCCCCTCCTCCTCCTCCTCCTCCTCCTCCTCCTCCTCCTCCTCCTCTCCTCCTCCTCCCTCCTCCTCCTCCTCCGCCACCGCCACCGCCACCGCCACCGCCCACCGCCCCCCGCCTCCGCCTCCTCCTCCCTCCTCCTCCTCCTCCTCCTCCTCCTCCTCCTCCCCTCCTCCTCCTCCTCCTCCGCCTCCTCCGCCTCCTCCGCCTCCTTCCCCTCCTCCTCTCTCCTCCTCCTCCTCCTCCCCTCCTCCTCCTCCTCCTCCTCCTCCTCCTCCTCCTCCTCTTCCCTCCTCCTCCTCCTCCTCCTCCTCCTCCTCCTCCTCCTCCTCCTCCTCTCTCCTCCTCCTCCTCCTCCTCCTCCTCCGCCTCCTCCTCCTCCTCCTCCTCCTCCTCCTCCTCCTCCTCCTCCTCCTCCTCCTCCTCCTCCTCCTCCTCCTCCTCCGCCTCCTCCTCCTCCTCCTCCCTCCTCCTCCCTGCCTCCTCCTCCTCCTCCTCCTCCTCCTCCTCCTCCTCCTCCTCCTCCTCCTCCTCCTCCTCCTCCTCCTCCTCCTCCTCCTCCTCCTCCGCCTCCACGCACGCTCACGCTGCACGCGCAGGCTGGCCCAACCTTTGCGCGACGCTTCCTTCCCGCATTCCGTGGCAGGCTGCTGCTGCCGGCTCGGCTGCCGGCTCGGCGCCCCGCCCGCGCGGGAGGGGCCGAAGGGCCCGCCGCCGCCGAGGTGGCGGCACGGCCTCCCCCTCGCCCTCCCTCTCCTCTTCCTCCTCCTGCTCTTCCTCCTCCCCCCTCGCCCTCCCTCTCCTCCTCCCCTCCTCCTCC